TTTTGGAAGATACATGTTATATTACATGTTGTAGTACAGGATTTGTTTTGGAAATTTTATATGTAGGTTTTGTACATATAGCAATCCTTGTACTAGTGGGACCTTTTGATGTAATTCATGTTTCTATGTAATGAAATATGTGTTTTATGCAAATGTGGAGTATGGGGGTGTTACAACACCACACTTAGAATATAATTCGATATTTAGGACCAGAGCCCCTCTGGTCTCTCTTCCAGAGCTTCTGGTCTTCACGACCAGAGCCTCTGGTTGAACCATCCAGACTTAGAAAATATTTCAAAACCTTTTCAAAACCTAAGACCAGAGCCTCTCTGGTCTCTCTTCCAGAGATTCTGGTCATTTTCTTAATTAAATTTTTTTATTTATAATTTAATTTAGGTTTAGTAACAAAGAAATTTAATTTAGGTTTAATAACATATTTTTTATAAAAATAATAATTAAGTATTCTGTTAGTTATCAATGATTATCTTAATTATATTTTAGATTTTTTTATATTTAAAATGAGATGTTTATCTAATATTTGATTATGTTTATTAGCAGTTAGTTAGACGAATTCAGGTATGGAGCTTTAATAAGTTGTACTTATGCACAATTTATTTGGAATCTTAAATTTTAACTAATATGCATCAATAAACGGTACTTTGTGCATAAAAATTGTTTTTTAAGAGTTTTTGTCAAATGCTTTATAATATAGTATAGATAGGGTATATTTCAAATACAACCCACCTTATTGCTGCAATCCTTACAACCCTTTTCCAACCAATCAATGAATTTCTTTTTTTAATTATTTTTTAATTGAAAAGGTTAAATATGTCATTTACTAAATTTAGATAATTATAAGTATTTTTAATTAAAATTAAATTATATCATATTTATGGTGATTAATTACATCTTCTCTTAATAGCTTCATCAGTTATGGAAATGAAATACATTCCATAACTTAATCAAAAAGAATTTGATGATGTTCGTTGAATAGTTTTAACAATTCTTCAGTAGCTTATAGAACCATATATTAAAATTATGGATTATATGTCATTCAACGGGACTTTCATTAAGGATATCGTCGAAGAAACCCCTATTTTTGATTCCATGAACGACTTCAAAGTTTTTATTATGTTGGTGAAAATACAACCGCAGTTAATGATGAAACAATCGAAGATCAATGCAATTATTCAACAAGGAATGAAGATGGTTGCAACGATCGAAACGAAACATTACATGAGCACAACGACGAAGTTTTTGTAGATTTTGTCGATGATGACGTTGCATCGTTGAGCAATGAATCTGAAGATATTGATTTGCTTTCATTGTGACCTCAAAATGGCAACCAAAAGTGGTTTAGAACTAGCATGCAAGTCCAACATTAGTTGGAAAGATGGAATGAAAACAATTTCGTTATTGTTATGGACCAACTGTAATATTGAAATGGCGATTATTGTTCATGAAATTTTATTATTGAAAAAGTTTTGATTTGTTTGATTTTGTAGATTATCGATCTGATGGCATGGGGGAAACGAACGATGGGTCGAAATGTTGGTTTTCCAATGTAGATACAAAATATAAGCCGAAGGTGGGTGATGGTTTTGAGACCGTAGAATCGGCTGAGAAAATGTACCAGAAGTATGCTAATGAAGCTGGGTTTGATGTACGTTTATCTAACAAGAAGAAAAATAAGATTGGTCGTATCACATCTCGATTTTATGTGTGTAGTAAGAAAGGAAGGCCACCAAGTAAGTATTTTGATTCCTTAGATGTTCTTCCAGGTGATCGCAGGATCCCCAATACAAATATAAAGCATTCCGGTTGTGGAGCATGTTTCAAGATTCATTTTGTTAAAGAACGGAGACAGTATGAAGTTTACAAATTTGTTGAGCAACACAATCACATGCTTTTTAATAAGAAGGAGATGAGGTTTTCACGTTCTAAAAGGCAACTACATTACACTAATCACAAAAATGTATTTCATGGTTCTAGTTCGAAGGTTGGTGTCACCAAATCTCATAGATTTAGGAAAGCAATTATGGGTGGTGTAGATTCATCAGGTGGCACCGTAAGAGATCATCAAAACTTCAAACGCGATATGGCTTATTTTGTAGGCAATAAAGACGCGCAAATGTTGTTAAACGTGATGTCTAATAGAAGGAAGGTGTGTCCTGAGTTTTTTTTTCGAGTACAAGTGTGATGATAAGGAGTTGTTAGCGATTTTCTGGGCTGATGAAACTGCCGAGATCGAATTATAGGGAATTTGGTGATGCAATATCATTTAATGCAACGTTTAGGACGAATAAGTAAGTTACAATTGATATGAAACTATTTGTTTGTGTTATGTATATTACATGTTATAACTTGTATTAATTTATAATGTTTAATTTTTAATAGGCATGTTATGATATTTGTTTCGTTCGTTGCAATTGATAATCATAAGAAATCTGTCGTTGTTGGAGCTGCTTTGATTCACAATGAATCTGTGGTTGATTACACTTGGGTATTAAAAGCTTTTGTAAAAGCTCATGGACGTCAACCACGTTTTGTGATCACTGACCAATGTGCGTCGATGAAACAAACAATTCTCATTGCATTTCCTAGATCCAAGCATCCATTGTGTATGTGGCATATCACTAAAAAGGTCAAATCTAAGGTAATTACGATGAAACTTTTTTTGTTTTCATTCTTTTTCCAGTTTTTTAAGTTTTCTTTCTAATTGTGCATGTGGCAGATCAGTAATTACCTCCAACATCGTACGCCGTTTGTTAGCGAATTTAATAAGTTGGTGTGGAATGTTCACCTTGCCCCTGATGAATTTGAGATGAAATGGAACAACATGATGGATTTGTATGGATTACGTGGAGACTCATGGTTTGATGAACTGTATGAGATTACGGAGTCATGGATTCCGGCTTATTATAAGGATTATCATATGTCCGGCCTAATGAAAACAACATCCAGGTCGGAGAGTATCAATGCTTTTTTTTAATGTTTATGCATATTTTTGGCACGATCTTGTTATTTTTCTTCGTTCTTTTGATAATGCAATTGAAAGCCAACGGACGACACATGGGTCGCTAGAGGTGACAACAAAGAGCACGATTCCTCGATTGGTGTCTCCTTGCAAATTAGAAGCTCATGCAGCAGAAGTATATACACGGACGATATTTTTTGAAGTTCAGAAAGAGTTATGAAAGGCTGTTTGGCTTTGTGGATGGGATGGATTCACTGACGTTGGTGAAACCCGAGTGTACACCATAACACACAAGAACAAAGCTTCTAAGATCACAACAAAGTACACAGTAGTTATTTCTTAATTTTCCAATTTTGCCAAACAGTTCAAATAGTAGAATCCTATTTTAACTTCCTAATATGATCTGGTTTCCCATATAATAGGTTGTTAAGAACAAGATGGAAAACTCGTATGATTGCTCCTGTAACTGTTTTGTTCGTAACGGGATTTTATGTCGTCACGCTTTCAAGGTAATGTTAAATGACGAGGTTGATATAATTCCAGATAAATATATACTTCGTCGTTGGAGACGCGATCTAGTCCCGGTGGAGTGGTTACCAGCACGTTTCAGATATGGGGAAGTTGACGCTGATAAGGAGAGGTTGATGAGTGTTGCTTATTCGTATTTTGAACGTATTTTAGGTCGAGTGCGAAATGAGAAACATATTTTGTCAAAATTTGTTGACCAACTTGAAGAATGGGATACAAAGATTGACAGTGAACTTCCTATACAGTCACATGCTCAAGAGACAACGACATCTATTAAAGAGTTTCTTGGAGTATCTCAACCCGAAACTATTGATGTTCTACCTCCAACTGGCATACGAAATAAAGGTTGTGGGACTGGTAAGAAACTTATTAGCGCCGCTGAGAAAGCAATCACGAATGGCAAAAAGCTGAAGAGAAAGTGTCGACTATGTTGTCAAATGGCTACACATGATTCAAGGAATTGCCCAAAACGTGATTCCACTTAAATTGTTCTTTTGAATTTTTGGTGACATTTCATTTTAACATGTTATTATTGTGTTTTAGTTAACTGTATTACATTGTTTAAACTGATTTCATCAAATTATTAGTGAATCTCTAATTTTTTAATAAAGTTGAATATGGTTTCATTTTACCGGTTGAAGTAGTTGTAAAAAGTTAAGTGGGTACATATGATTCTGATGAAAATAGGTACATATTATTCTTATTGTGAATCTGGAATCACCACATGTTATTGTGACCGAATATATAGATCAATATGTTTTGCATTATTTCTACATGCATCAAGAAACTTTTGATCTAGTTGGGTATGATTTCATTTTACCTTTTGTGTAGTTGAAAAAACTTATGTGGGTATATATGATTCTGATGAAAATGGGTTCATCTTAATGTGTTAGTCTTGCTTCAATAACAGATTGTGAATCTGTAATCATCATGTATTTTTGGATGGATATGGTTTGCATTATAGTCAGTATGAATCAAGTTTCATTAATAAAAAGGTTATCATCAATAAAAAAATTATGATTTCATTTTACCTTGTGTAGTTGAAAAAAGTTATATGGGTACATATAAAACTTATGAAAATGGGTTCATCAAAGTGCTTATTTGAATATGTTATTAAAGATTGTGAATCTATATGATTTGCATTATTACTAATGAAACAAGTTTAATTAACAGGTGTGTTAATCTGGGTTCACCATTCATATCACAATGTGTTGGCAAAATATTTCCATCAAATGTCATGTACATTTCATAACATCAAACATGCTAATAGCATAATGTTTAAACAAACTAGAAAATTCAATACCAAAAGCAAGTTATTAAAACCGTCTACATGAGAAAAATATAAAAGAACATCCATCAATTAGATTCGAAGTCTCTCAGTCTTTGTATCGTCAACATGTTTTCTTAACTTTTTTCTGATGGCTTCATCCATTGATTGGAACTTTTCAACTTCCTTAATTACATATTCCTTCTTCTTGTTATAGTTGCTGACCAATAACTTTGCTACATATTTCATTCTGAGGTTTGCTATTTGGCTCTCTTGTGTTTTACCTTCTTGTGTCAGTCCAGTCTTCCATGTTCTCATATCTCCCATGTATGTCTCTATGTGTCTCATTGCAAACACTCCACAAGCATCGAAGTTGTGTTGTGTTTGCCAATCCATTCTCAACCTTTCTTGGCCTATTTCATCTAATTCTCTCCCTGCTGCATGTCCTACCGTATTCAAATGTCCGATCATCAATCTTTGCTGCATAAACGGAATGAAATGGTTAACACATCGTATTCAATCTTATTAAAGAATACAATTATATATTAATATTTAATTCATACCAGAATGTCTGTTATGAAGTCATACATCTGTAGAAGTTGATCATCATCGGACACCTCTCGATATTTGTTGTCTATGACAACAACCAGTGGGTGAACACCACAAGATAATAGCGTCCCTTATCAAGTAACGGGAAGAATACCTATCATTTCATCAAGTTGTCAATGTCAAAATCTGCCGATGATAGTAATTCATATAACCTGTATTTATTGAACCATATTCATATTTGAACCACATTCATGATTGTAATACATAATGGAACCAACTTCATATACCATGTATTTATATAAGACACTCTAAAAACAATCTAAATGTTTATGAAAACTGTTTCATTAGTATGATAACTCATGATACCTGTTTCATTAGCATGTTTATGAACCCATTTGCAATAACTATGTGGCATTGTAAACCTATTACAGTAGTATAAACCTGTTGAGGACACCTATTTCATTAGTTAGTTGCTTAGAATAGATTGAAATCTATTAAGGATACCTGTTACATTAGTAGTATAAACCTGTTAAGGATACCTGTTTCATTGGTAGTATAAAGCTGTTAAGGGTACCTGTTTCATTAATGAAACCTGTGTTGAAATTATTCTTAAAATGTGATGCATGTAGAGTAGCGTTCATAGTTTTGAAGGTATTTAAGTTGGTTGTAACATTGAGGGGCACAAAAAATATGAGACATATGCATATATTGGATCCTAACATTTAATGTTAATGAATATGATTAACTGTTTTGTCCATTCGTAGTAATGCATTTAGATAAGACACTAATAAAGCTAAATATAATTGAAAAACGAACAAGATCTATGTTGCGCATTTCAACGACTTCCAAGTTGTTCTTCGCAGAAGACAACCCCCCCTTTTTGAATAGTGCGTATTGGGTATTATGGTTGACGCACTTAGATCTTAGCTTGGTGTCAGTCTGTGATAAAATATGATGTATTGATGGTTATATAAACATAGATGTTACATAAAACAACATGTTATTAATAGTATTTCCTACTCACGTACCATAACTTCAATGTTAAAGAATAGTGACGTAATGAATCCCTGTTTCGAAATCGTTCCTCATAGTTAAGAAATGTCGCCCATGCGTCTATCACACTAATGTACACTGTAGTTGTACGAGCCAGGCTTTCAATTGCATGACGATGTAAATTCATATCATTTGGCATTGAAAACAATAACTCACTGCAATTAAAAATAACAAAATGATAAATTTAATATTAAGACGAATGACATGGTAGTAATCATGCGAAAAAATAAGTTCACAATAATGATTAACTTACTACTTTCCACCAAGCCCATCTAATGCCCATTCATGGATTTTTTTTCATCATTTGTCACGTTCATGTCTACTGCTCTAATAACATATGGGGACCTGAGATGGTCACCCAACTTAAGTTCTCGACGAGCCGCTCGCTCCACCTGATGGGCATTTGCATCCTCGGCGATCGTACATTACGCTTTTTCAATGAAGGACTTCCTTCTACACCCTTTCTATTTTTGTTCAGTACAACACCTTCAATCTCTTCATGCCAATCCATATTCAAAGGTTCCGCTTGCTTCATTGGACTAATACCCAAATCAAACGTTGGAGAAGTAATGCCTGCATATGATTGTTTCATTTTTGAATTTGATATCGTGTTGTCTACTACTTTGTCAATTGCTTCTATGAATCCAGGGCTTAACCAAATTCTGGGCAGTGGTTCTTCATTGAACCCTCTGTTTTTGCAGTCATCATCTCCCTGTGGTTGTCTTAGAACAATATCTAATGAAGGTTGACCATCCTTTTTTGAAGTCAACTGGTCCTTTAATCCACTAAAACAGTGTCATGTGTGGTCTTACGTGCTCCTTCACTGAACATGTCATCCAACTCTTTCTTATATTGTCTGAATTCATCATCATCTGGAAACTTAGATATAACATCTTTGATTTCCACTTTAGCCTCTATTCTTGAACTCACAACCACCGCCATCTTAATAAGGATGTGCTGAATATGATCCTACATTTGTTAGCATTTTAATGAATTAGAATTTGTATAAGTTAAAGCAAGCACATGAAAGAAGATTCACCATTATGGACAACATGTAAATAGTTTTGATTCACCATATAAACATGTAAACAAGATTCACCATTATGAAACAACATTTAAACAATTTTGATTCACCATATAAACAACAGGTAAACAAGATTCACCATTATATATGTTAATGAAACCTGTTTAGGAAACCTGTTCATGGAACAGTTTAATGAAACCATTATGAAGCTTATTTCATTAACATATAAACAACATGTTAAGGAATGTTTATGAAACCTGTTTATGAAGCCTATGTCATTAACATATAAACAACATGTTAATGAAACCTGTTCATGAAACCTAGTTCACCATAAACATCATGTTACAACATGTTTATGAAACATGTTTATGAAGCCTGTGTCATTAACAATTTAATGAAACCTGTTTATGAAGCCTGTTTCATTAACACTAACAACATGTTTATGAAGCCTGTGTCATTAACATTTTAATGAAACCTGTTTATGAAGCCTGTTTCATTAACATATAAACAACATGTTAATGAAACCTGTTTATGAAACCTGATTCACCATATAAAGAGCATGTTACAACATATCTGGGTTCATTAACATTTTTGTTCAGTACATCATCTAAACAACATTATAAACAACATTATAAACATGTTTCACAAACCATATAAACAGCAGGTAAACAATTTTGATTAACCATATACACAACATTATAAACAGCATTACAAACAGTTTTGATTAACCATCTATACAGCAGGTCTTTTTTACTTTTTAGTCCTCGCAGGTTTACGTGAACTAAAATCAATGTTACTTCATATGTCTTAGATGAATTGATTGTGTTTCATTTGATGGATTATCATTATCAACATGTAAACAATTTTGATAAAACAACATGTAACCAATTTTGATAAAACAACATGTAAACAATTTTGATAAAACAACATGTAAACAATTAGTAAACATATGTAGACAGTTAGTAAACAACATGAAAACAGTTAGTAAACATCATGAAACAGTTTTGATGAATCTGTAAAACAGTTACCAATTAGTAGAGTTATGTAGTTTCATGTATTGTTCTACTATTGAACTCAAACAATTAGGATAGTTTGGTGAGAGTGAATACAAAAACATAGAGTTAACCTCTTTATTTGGATGGGTCGGTGTTGACGTTTCACCGATATTCTTGTGGTTTGAAGTATAACAGGGGGTTTATATCTTCACTTGATTTAAAAGTAGATCGTAGTGGTAATATCTCGAAACCTCCATCTTTGATTTCTAATGACTGTCTTTTCTTTAACAACTCAATGTTCCACCCCGAGAGTGCATGTGCCTTATGTTCTACCACGACTGTTGGACTTATCGTAGATTCAACATATAGCAATTGCAAAATGAAATTTTTGGTTTGTTATGTAAAGAGTTTTTACAATTTTAGATATAAAGGAAACTTATAGTGAGGTATGTCAACGGTCCAGCATAGAAGCACATGGTACTCTCCCTTTTCCATCTTGACTTGCTTGTTTTTATTTTGGCGTAGATGTACTTACACCAATCTATTTGTGGAATCACGTCTTCACTTTCTATTCGCAAAAGGAAACCGAAATTGCAA